GCCTCAGGCTGCTTCAGCCTGCCTCAGCCAGCCTCAGCCTGCCTCAGCCTGCCTCAGCCAACCTCAGCCTGCCTCAGGCTGCCTCAGGCTGCCTCAGGCTGCTTCAGCCTCTAACTCTGATCACAGCTGTGATCATTCAGCTAAACACTGTTTGTTGTGTGAGCGGTGACGCGCTGAAGCTCCAACCTGCCACGGAGGAGAAGGACGAGCCGATTCCCTGCAGAGATCGAGCGAAGAACAGCAGAGCGTAGGTTCCTGAGAAGGCAAACACTGGAGAACACAAACACGTCGGCTCAGAGAAACGCGCTTCTGTTCAGGCAAACTTTATTTAAACTCAGCGACTTACTGATGGTCGACACAAACATGATGATGAAACCAGCGAACATGGGGATGTGGTAGCCGATCCTGCACAGACAGAGAGGAGCGGAGGTCACGCTCATCTGCCTTATCAATACCAACATTAATAATCATGATCACTAGAATAATAATAATAACAACAACAACAACAACGGGGAGGTACCTGTTGGTGAGCGGACCGACGAACGGGTTGATCAGCAGCTGGACGAGAGCTTTGGATGCAAACAGCAAACCAACACGGACACTCTCCTCCTCCAGGAAAGCACTGTCCTGGAGGCAGGAGGACTCCTGAAGGAGGAGACGAGGAGAGGAGATAAAGAGAGGAGACAAGAGGAGAGAAGATAAGAGGAGAGGAGACACTGTGAACCTGATGGATCAGTGATGACGATGATCACTGATCGTTCACATGTCAGGTAAATCCACCTACAGCCGTGTCATTGGCCTCCGTGGTCGGTCCGGTCGGGTCCGTTGGCTCGGCGCTCACCGTCACTTCGGTCCGGCTCTGCTGCAGGCTGAAGGTCTGGTTATCGAACAGGGACACCAGAGGAGGGAAGGTGGAGGGAGGCTGCTCCGACTCCGTACCCAGGACCGGTCGAGCCGGCTCAGACGGCTGGGAGGTCCGGAGGTTTGAGAAGGGCAGCTGTGAGGGCGCAGTGCCCAGACGGGAAGCACTGAGGCCGTGCAGAGGGAGCAGGGAGGGCTGGGTGGTCTGGGGCTCCGGGCTGGGGTGCTCCATGGCATAGAGGAAGGTCGGGATGATTGGCACTGGAGGAGGAAGATCAGTCCACTGATGATTACAAACCACTGATCCAGTCACACGTTCACTGTTACGAAGCATCTACGTGATAGCGCCCTCTAGTGGCTGCATTACCCTGAACAGAAACATCAGCGCAGAATCAGGGGCAGAAAAACATCCGTCAGTAGCTGCCTTTAGAGCCACGATCGATGGGTGGGACTGAAACACTGGCTGCTTAAACCAACTGTGAATCCCATAAAAGGCCGAGACAGCAGAGAGCCGAGAATAAAGAGCAGAAGACTTCATCTGACAGGAGACAGAAGGAGACAACCGTGACCTCTGGCAAGACTCTGAAGGTCACGGTCAGAAGGTGTGTGTGTGTGTGTGTGTGTACAGTCAGGTCCATAAACATCTGGACATGGACTGTTTCCAGTATTCCAGCTGTGTAACCACCACAGTGGATTTGAAAGGAAACAACCAGATGTGCTTAAAGTGACGTCCAGCTGTAGTTTGAGGGTGTTTACGTCCACACCCGGTGGACAATGTAGGAACTGCAACACACCTTATATGAGCCTCCGCCTCTGTAAGGTGTTCCAGGTGTGTGTTGTTCCCTCATTATTTCATTTACAAGGAGCAGATAAAAGGTCTGGTGTTCACTAAGAAGTCCAAAGAGCTGTCGCTGTCAGTGAAGCAAGCCACCATCACGCTGAAAACCCACAACAAACTCATCAGAGAGACAGCAAAGACACTCGATGTGGCCAAGTCAGCTGTTTGGTACATTCTTAAAAAGAAAGAAGGCACTGGTGAGCTCAGCAACGCCAACAGATCTGGAGGACCACAGAAAACCAGTGTGGTGGACGACAGAGGAATGAAAAACCCTGTCACTCTCCAGGAGGCAGAGTATCTGTTTCACAGCCACCAATAAAGAGAAGACCTCATATACAGAGCATTCATCATGAGGTGTAAACACCTGGTGAGCCTCAAAACCAGTGGGCCAGATCAGAGTTGGTCAGAAACACCTTAAAGAGCCTGTGCAGTTGTGGAACAACATCCTGTGGACGGATGAGACAGACATCAACTCGTACCAGGTTGATGGGAAGAGCAGAGGATGGAGAAGGGAAGGAGCTGCTCCAGGTCCAAAGCATGGCGGTGGCAGCATCATAGTATAATGGCTGCCAGTGGAGCTGCTTCTCTTGTGTTAGTAGAAGATGTGACTGCTGACAGAAGCAGCAGGATGAACTGTGAAGTGTTTCAGGCAACATTATCTGCTCTTATTCAGCCGGATGCTGCAGAGCTCGTTGGACGGTGCTTCATGGTGCAGATGAACGCTGACCTCAAGCATGCTGAGAAAGCGACCAAAGAGTTTTTAAGGCTGCAACGGCCAAGTCAGTCACCTGAGTCCAGTTCAGCAGGCATTTGTCTTGCTGAAGACAGAGCTGAAGGGAAGATGCCCCAAGAAGCAGCAGGACCTGACGACAGCAGCCGTAGAGGCCTGGCTGAGCATCACCAGGACCAAACTTAGCGTCTGCTCACGTCTACGGCGTCCAGACTTCAGGCAGTCACTGACTCAAACATTTACCACCAAATTCTAATCTGATTTACACCTACATTACCTTGTGGTCCGTTGAAAAGGTGGAGGGCTCATAAAATGAGTTGTAGTCCCTACATTGTAAATATTTACGGACCTGACTCTGGCTCTGTGTGTGTGTGTCCTCTGCAGCCTTTACATTCAGCTCGGACTCTAACAGCCTCCGACAGCTTCGACCTCCAGGTTCTCCGCTGCGTCACAGATCTGACGTGTTGTGTCTCCATGCAGAGGTTCAGCTCAAAGCGCAGCCAGTGATCAGCTCATCGACCCGTTGCTAACCATGACACCAGTCTGCAGCCGTTTGATAATCAACTCACAGGTTGGAGTCATTTTCTACAAGACAAGGGCAGAGTTCTGTGACTGAAGCTCCTTCAGTGTGAATGTCGTCCTTCTCTATGCAGTAAACTGAAGATATGTGAGGACTGTTTCACTTCTGCAGCAGACGCCCAAACCAAAAAACATTAAATAGACGGTTTGGACCGCATCGCTCAGAGAATGACTAAAATGGAAGGCAGCTGATCCATTTTCTGCACTTTGGCTCATCTGTGCTGCTCCAATACGAACCCTTGTGTATTCCACAGCTTGAGTATTTAAATAAATAGATAAAAACAGCCAGAACAGAAGTCACAAGCCTCTAATTCAGCTCCTTCATGATGCAGATTTGATCATGAGAATAAAGCTCCAGTTTAGAAGTGACAGGGAAAAAAGTCGTTCCTTGTGGCTGCAGAAGCTGCCTGAGAATCTGGCTGGTTTGAGGCTTTCTTCATCGTCACAGTGATCCAGTGACAGCTGTTTACACATCCACGACTACATTACCAACAGGAGCCGCTGACGGGTAATTCAGCCGCTTCAAATGGGTGAATTTGGCAAAATGTAAACAAACATCTGTGATGTCTAATCAGAATAAACATCCATAAAGCCGCTTCAGAGTCGCGGGGAAAACACGTCTCCCGTAGCTGCCTGAGAATGCGTCTGTTTCTGAGTTTCTTGGTAATCCAGTGATAGCTGTTGCTACGTCCAGGACAGATTACCAACAGCAGCCACTAACCACTAATTCAGCTGCTTTACATGGTGTGAATTTGGCAAAATGAAAACAAACGTCTCTGATGTCTATTATGAGTAAACGGTCATAAAAACAGACGCTGTAGCTGCAGAAGCTGCCTGAGAATCAGTCTGGTTTTAGGGTTTCCCAAACACAAGTATCACAGCAAGCCACCGACATTGTCACAGCTCCACGACAGAGGAGCTGCTGACACCTGCTTCAGCTGCTTTGAACGGGTCTACATCGTGACCACGTGAACAAGGACCAGCACGGGGCTCCAGCTGGCGGTCTCATGCCAGCATGACCTGTCCATGATGAGAACAGCAGAGCAGGATTATCCCCACACAACAGTAATAACAGAGCTCATAATCACAGTTTTCTTGCTGCCTTTGAAGATATTTTTTGGCATCCCTCAGACACTCTCCATTCACACACATACACTTTGTGTTGCTGGTGTTTTGTGTGTTTACTCACCAACCACAGTGAGCAGCATGTTGTCGAGCAGCAGAGCCACACAGACCACGACCAGGACCAGTCTGGGAGAACCTCGACTCTGACGGAGCCACGCCATGCCTACACAGACACACACACAGTCACACAACGTCTACACAACGTCTACACACACACAGTCACACAACGTCTACACAAACACAGTCACACAACGTCTACACAAACACACACAGTCACACAACGTCTACACAAACAGCCATCTTCAGAGGACGTCACACTGACTTACAGCAGTGCTCTGGTGAAGTCCATGTGCATCATGACAGTGTTCAGTCTCCAGTGACTCCATAACTCTAAAGTCTCTCTGATGGAATCACCGAAACGTGAATCTTTGTCACCAAAACAATCCTGTGTTTTGGTTCTTTTATAGGTTTTTTAAAGGTTTTCTGGAAACATGATCAAATCTGCTGATCAGAAATCTTCATACAGCAGCTTGAGTTATCGGTGTAGCTGATGTGGAACGTTGTGTTGATCACATGTTCTCAGCTTCATGGCCTCCTAACTTCTCCTGAGTGGTTCTGATCGACTCCAGCTGCTGACTCCTCTGATCCAGTT